ATTTAGCATGTTTTCATCACAAGAGAAGTGGAAAATTTCCACTAGCTGACCTCTTTTCTCACCAACTTTCTATTTTCAAGAACTGTGCCATAAAAATTTGTTTTACAACCACCTTGCAAAAATTTTAGAAAAAATTTATAAAAATCTTTTGGACCTCCATTTTATGTCAAAATCTTTCTTAAGGTGTTATCGTTCAAGTAAAATTGGTTTCATTGAAAACGAGTGAGCGGTTTGTGAGAAAATCCAATTTTCGTAACGGTCGACGAATCTGGACAAAGCTGGAGTATTTCTGAAATAGCTAAACATCTGGAAAAGTTATTCCATTTTCGAAAAATTTTCTGAGAACTAGATAAAATTCCCTACGAACCATAGGAAGGTCAGGCTCTGGAAAAATGTGAAATAACCCTTTTGAGTATAATCTTTAGGTAGTATTGAATCTGGAAATTCTATTTTCATTGGTGTTTTATGCTCTTGTGTTCATGAATATGTTTATTAATTTATGATCATGTCTCGATATGATATTACACATGTCATAGGTTTATGTGTTTTATTTTAATCCTTTGATGGTGCTCACACTTATGCAAATCTAGAAATTATATTCTTGTGCGAAATTATTCCCTTAACTACTTGAATATGCCTAGAGCTACTTGCGCTTATCTTCATATGTGAATCTCATGTGTTGTAACTTTATTTCCTTCTATTTGTACTATTTAGTTGTTCATACTTGTGCAATAGATGTTGTTTCAAGAGCATGTCCTAACTCTGACTTAAATTATCTAACTCAAACAGGAAACTTAATGGGTGGTAATGGGTTGTGAATTTTTGGACAAGTTACTAAGATATTGATTGGTTGACGGGATATGTTCCCTATTTGGAAGTTAAAGTCTTGCGCAAATGGTTTTCAGAACCTTTGAACGGTGCGGTTGTATTCGGACTCTAGGTATTTGGTGAAATGAGGGATTTGGGCAAGACCCATTATTACCGTCTCTTTTGAGGCCCTACTATTGGCACTATGTAGTATATAACCGTTGCTAGGCATCCGAGGTAAGTTCCACAACAAAGGAGCAAAAGAGGGGGCATACTGAATAATCCGCGCCCGATTCTTGCGGTTGGGAGGATGAAATCTCTTTGGAGGATTTCTAGACTACTAACAACTAACCCTGTAACTTGTGTTAATTACTTGAATGTCATGTTCCTTTCCCCTATTGTTGTAATTTGCTATTGTGTATTATATTGGAAAAAAGGAACGGGGTATGTGTGTGTTTACTAGGCATTCAAGCTCATGGCGGTTCATGCCAGGTATCGAAGAAATGTACGAAGCCAATGAAGAGTCAAAGATATTTGAAGATTTAAGTTTGCCTTAGAGGAAGGGTTCGGAACCATTTCGCTTATTAGTTTGACTGTGCTTTTAGTTATTCTTGGATCGTAATAGTAATGGGACTTGTTTTGTCAATTTAAAATTTGAGACACTGTAATTATTATTTACCTTGTAATCCTATGCCTATCTATGCGTTGCTTATGAGACCTTGCGTCAATGCCTTTTAAGATTTGTCAAAAGGGTAGTGCGCTACCTAAGAAAGCTGGACTTAGAAGGGAAGCTAACTTAATTCCTCTGCCGATCTGGAATCTTACTTGGTTATTGGCCATAGGACTCATTAGTGTCGTTTCCTAAACTCCTAACCTTAGATAAACCCTGTATTAATTATTAATATATTCTCTGATATTCGCGATTTTTGGGGCATCACAACAATCCAGCCCTGTGTAGACACCCCATTTTTGACCGTCCTCAAAGCTTGGACGTCATCGTTTGAACACGCGATGATTATCCATACTTGTGCTTGTTTTGAGTTTTGAAAAGTCTTGGTTGCGCGCCTTGCCTTAGAATCTCTTAACTTCTCTATTTTGTGCTTGGTTGCACTAAGAGCTTGTGGATGTGTTCCTGAAGGAAGGGAGGGAGCCTGTCGACCAAGTCTTCTGCCCACCGGCCGCCTTGTTTTTCAATCGGCCAAATGTGATGGCCGGCCGGCCAATTTGACTGCCGGTCGACCACTTTGATGGTCGGCCGGCCAAATGTGGTTTTCAACAGATGTTTCTGTAGACAGCTGGCAGCTGTCATTCCAGGCCATACCCCAGCCCATGCCTGGACGTGGGAGTTCTGAGGGGGGTGCAGATTGATATATCTATATCAATCAAGCTCTCTTACAAGAGGAACAAGAGGGAAAAAGGGATATAGAACTTGGAGCAAAAAATCTCTCTCTCGCTCTCTCTATATTTTCTGCCTCTCTCTCTAAGGTTTAGGGCTTGTTTGTGCTCAAAAGTGCATTTTCTTTGCACTTTTGCATACAAACACCTAGTTCTCTACTTCCTTTATTGAGATGAGGTCCTTAGAGGTGATTCTTGGGGTGATTTGAAGCTTTTTTTTGTCCAAAAGTTGCTGGTTTGCTGCTATGCTTCAAGGGTAAGACTTTTGCCCCTTTTTACTGCTTTTTTGCAAAGCTTTTTAGCCTATCTTGCATCTGTTTTTGAGCTTAGCATATAACATATAAAAGTTCTATTTTTGAGTGCTCTAAATAGTTTGTTAAGGGTGTTTTAAGCTTTGGGGTTGTTTGACCCCTCTTAAGGCTTGTTTGGCCCTTGTTTTGTGCCATTTCGGTTGAGCTTCGGGACCATTATGTTTGGGCCTCCTCACCACTGAAATCTTGAAGGATTTCAGTGATGAGGATGGTGCCTTGAGGTCCTAGAAAGGAGAGGGCCACCCCCTCTCCTTGTTGTCCTTGAAAAAGGCCATTTTTAGCCTCTTGAGGGAGCATATAGTTTGAGTGTGTATTGACCATGCCTTGACTGATTTTCATGCTTATTATGTCATAATATAGCATTGTTGTATGTTGGTTTTGGTACACCATGCTTGCTTAGCATACATGCCTTGTAATGCCGTGTTTAGGTCTTAACATGCTTTAGGTTTTGGTCCTTATTCTAGCATGATTTTGGCCAAGCTTTGTGAAGCTTTCGTGTTTGTTTTAGCATGCTCAAGCTCTATTTTTGGTTGTTTTAGTCGATCATCACATGCTTAATATAGCCACCTTGCATTTTGGCTTGTTAGCCTTGGTTGCGTGAGTGTCTAGCATGCATTACTTGCATTGTTTTAGTGGTTTGGAACCACTTTCCATGTTATTTTAGTCCTTATAACAGGCTTTTATCCTTGCCTTTGATGCCTCTTTGATGCCTCTAAGAGGTGGTGTTGTATGCTCCATGTTTAAGTATTTATGCATGCCTCCATGTGTAGATCATTTAGATGCCATCTAGGTGGTTTTTAGGACTTGCCTTAACATGATTTGGGACTGTTTTGGTCCACTTTGGTCATTTGTTTCATGTGTCATTTAACCATAGTTTAAGTTCTTGGGCCTGGTTGCATGCCTTGCTTGCATTGATAGTTGGATTTGGCATCATCTTAACATGATTTTCAGAGTTTGATGTGCATGCCATTTGTCCATGATTATCCTCTTTTAAGTGTGCTTAAAAGATGTTCTTTAATGCTTAAGCATTGGGCCATTTTTGCATGCATTGTTTGTGTGTGTATTTGCCTCCATTCCATAGCATTTTAGCTTCCTATTTAGACATGGCCGAGGCTTGTCCATATTGGTCTAAGTCCACCTTTCGCATGTTGTTCAAATGTGATCACATTGTTACATGCTTGCATGCTTTGGTTGCATAATGTTTGCATGTTCATTACTTGCATTGTTGACACATGCTTAACTCTATTGCATGCTTCCCCCATGTTCATATAGCATACTAGTTTGCATGCCTAAGTTGCATGCCATCTAGCATGCATGCCTTGTCCCTTGATCTAGTGATAGGGATTGGGCCTTGGTTTGTGTGTGTGCATTGCATTTGAAATCAAAATGCATACTTGGTCCCTTGGGCCATCATGCATGGAAATGCGTGATTGGTGGCCCGAGAATCGAGGCCCATCCTCCTTTGAGTCATAAATATGATAAGGAGTGTGGTTGGTGCATACATTGCTTGAAACGCATTACCATGCCTTGCCTGCCCTCTGCTGCTGTCAAACAGGTTTCTGCAGGAAGTTTTGGCCGGCCGGCAATGTTGGGTGCCGACTGGCAAAACAGGTTTGGCTGAGAGCATAATTTTGTGGCTGGTGACCATTCTCCATGGCCGGTGATGATCTCACTCAGCCGGTAGTGTCCGACAACACTCAGAGAAGCAACCTTGGGAGTTGTGCAATTTTCAGAGAAGTGGAACAGTCAAAGCAGAGGCAAACTTGTGCATGGCAGTGACTTTCCGAGCGGAGCCGAGCGCACATTGCATTGGGCCCTCTTCCAGAGGCCATTTACTGCTTTTATTAGATTAGTTAATTTGTTAATTAATTAATCGGTCTGTAATATTTAATTAGCTTGTAGGTTAATTAACTTGCATTATTTTAACTTGCATTATTCTTTCGGTCCCTCCGAGCGAGGGCGAATCTGTAATAAGTGTGGGTGCGTGTGTGCATGTCTTCCAACCCCCACTTCTTCCTCCCTTTTACTTATTTGCTTTTGATGGTTAGTATTAGGACATGTTTACTTTAGCATACCTTATGCTATGCATACGTGCATTCATTCATCAGTATTGCAGGCACCAGGCTCGGCGCATCATACTAACTGCATAAGTATTTCAAATCTAACTTGAATACATGCTACTTGTGCATTTTCACATGTCATTTATAGACTAGCCGAGCCTACTCTAGTGACATTCCGAATATCCGATTTTTGCGTTTACGAGTGTGGGTTTTTCTGGATAAACCATTGATCAGTGGTTTTTTCCTTAAGTTCCGCAATGGTCAACAACATTGGATTAGTTGTCGCTACGAGCGGGTTTGTAAGATTTGCAGGAACTGTGGTCGTATAGGTCATACGATCAATGCTTGTGCTCTGTCCTTTGAAGAGGCTCAACGGCAACTTGATGATAATCTTCAAGAAATGAGTCGACGTCTCCATGCTCCGGTAATGACTCAAGCATCGTCTCCAATGTACTCTGCAACCATTCGAGCTAATGCCCATAGGCCGGAACGTCGTACTACTCGAATCTTTCAGCAGCCCACACATTCTAACATGGAGATCCCTGAAGCCGTGACTCCACCTCCCAATGGGCAGGATCTTAATCTGGATGCGGATTTTGCTACTATGTGGGAACAAGATTGGGATGCCGCTAGCCGAGGCAACTTTGGTGATGACGGACATGTGGCCTTCGGCACCGAGTCAGGGTTTCCTAAATTTCCCCGTTAAAAAATATTTAGGTGGCGACTCTGTATCTGGAAAAGCAGTCCATGTTTGGCGTTTCTTTTCAAAAATCTGTTTCTCAAAACGATTTGCCGGATTTGGACTCTTTGGTTCAGATTAAGGACCGTGACACAAATTGAGTCCGAACTGTAGTGAAGCCCACGGGCGCGTCTACACCCTGGAGAGATATGCTAAGAGACAATGATGAACCACAGATCAGAAGCAATCAACGAGATCCATAGAGAAGAACCATTAAGTTCATATATCGAATCCATAGAGAAGACATGTATGGAAAAGAAATTAGGGATTTGACAGAGAGGGAGAGAGTGAGTGATGAAACCTGGATGCTTTTTTTTGTTTTTGTTTTTGTTTTTGATTTTGATAGTCCTGACTATTGAGTTCAAAAATTAATATATAAAATACAATAATATATGATTTGGGTTTATTAGGGACAAATTAGAATTGTAGGGATATGATTTGGGTTTATTAGGGACCAACTAAAATTGTAGGTAAAAGTGATTGATTTTTTTGCAATCAAATAAATTTGTCTAGAAAATGTAAGAACATGATTAAATATATATATGTATATATATTTAATTCTTTCATTTTGTCCTTAAAAGTATAATTTTTGCAGACAAATTATTTTTGTTCCTAAAAATTTGTCTTTAAATCCTTAATTTCTTATAGTGTTGGTATAATCCATAGAAAATTGTAACAATTTTATATAAATTAATAAAATTGATTATTTATGCATTTATTTCCTATCTCAATTACATGATACAAAATTTGTGTGTACAAGGACAAATTATTTTTTTTGAAGATTTGTTTTTTCAATTGTACTGTTGGAGTAAGCGTTTCCTACCATTAGACTGCCATTTGTCTAGAAAATATAAGAACATGATTAAATATATATATGTATATATATTTAATTCTTTCATTTTGTCCTTAAAAGTATAATTTTTGCAGACAAATTATTTTTGTTCCTAAAAATTTGTCTTTAAATCCTTAATTTCTTATAGTGTTGGTATAATCCATAGAAAATTGTAACAATTTTATATAAATTAATAAAATTGATTATTTATGCATTTATTTCCTATCTCAATTACATGATACAAAATTTGTGTGTACAAGGACAAATTATTTTTTTTGAAGATTTGTTTTTTCAATTGTACTGTTGGAGCCACCAAATCACTACTGGCCTGCCGATGAAATTTTTTTCAAAAAAGTTGCCTAAGGTGGCAGGTGGTGGTGGTGATGAAATGAACAGATAAATAGATTAAGTGAATATATAGGTACACATGCAAATACTAGGATGACACGTAGACAAATATGCACTACTAGAAAACTGACTTTTTGCTACTATATAATTTGCGACCATCTGGTTAGCCGTCGCAAATAATCAATTTACCCCCTTATTTTCTTCTATTTATTTTCCCTTTTTCTTTATACTTGCCCTAGCCCCTCCATAAACACCGATTGTTCTCTTTCTCTCGCTCTCTATCGGTCTCACAGTAATACGACTGGTATGAATCTCTCTCCCCTCTCTCTCTCTCTCTCTCTCTCTTCCTCAATCTCGCTTTCTCTCTTTCTCTCAATCTCGTGCTCTCTCTCCTTTGATCTTCTCAAATTAGCACCTCTACTATACATGTATATGTACCTCTATATATATATATTATGTATATGTTGTGAATATCAATGTTTGAAATTGAATTTATTCTGTTGAGGTCCGAGCAAGAATCGAAGTAGACGTCCTCAACTTCCTCAAGATCTTGAACTCTTCGACTCCGACAATCTCATATTTCTTTGGTTTGCAATTTTGCTTCAAATCTCTACTCTCGAAATGTGTATATATATATATATATATATATATGTGCGTGTGTGTTTTTGTGTTAAGCATTGAGTCACTGTTGATTTTAATTTGACAAATTTGGGGATTTTTGAGTGTGTTATAGATCAATAGAAGATGGAATAATAGCTGAGGGTTTGTTGACTGATGTTTCGTGGATTTTTCTTTCTCACTCGTTTTGCACGAGGTCTTTGATGAGAGTTAACTAACACTGCTGAATCTTTCATTAGCTATATCGCTGTGTAAGCTTTTCTTTCATTTCCGCCCATGGAAGTTTGCGTTTCCTTCTGACTTCATTTCTTCCTTCTCTCTCATTTCTGCAGAGATTCAGGAGCAGGGGTTTCCGGCGAAGCCTAGACATACAGAGGTGAGGTTTAGTGGTATTTTTTTTGTTTTTTTGTGATCAAACTATGCGGATTTTGAAATTGAGGGGTTTCTTTTGAGATTTGTGTTGGTTGATCTTGAGGAGGTGTGTTTACAGGGGACATTGATGCATGTATGAGACCGCGGTTATTCGGTGACCGCCTCTGAATTTTGGCGGAATATTCGTTCGTTGAATTTCGAATTTTGAGTTGTGTTATTGTTGTTTGTATTGTATTGTATTGTACTAGGGATTTTTTTTATTTATTTTTTATTTTTTTTTTACCATGATCGCTGCAAGTTCAGCTTGTGTTTTACCTGCTCATCGTTCTTTAGCTACTGGTCTGTTTCTTCGGAGGAATTTCAAGCGTTCAAGAGGTGACTATGGAGTTCTATGTTTTCTTCATCATGAAGATTTTGAGTTCTGGTGTGTATGTGTACATCTTCATGAATTTGGTATTTTTTTTTTTTTTGAAGTTATGTGTCACTTCTGCTGAGTCTACTCTCTAAGTACCATAGGCCTTAAATTTTCATCAATTAAAATTTCTTACTCATTTGGCAAGAAAAGTAGTCAAATTTCTCTGTTTGAAAGTTACATATCCTTAGTTTCTCAGAATTTTTCGATGATCGCAAGGATCTCGTCCATTCAAGCACCAAAATTAACCTATAGCATTGAATCCCACATCGCTCTATGCGAATACCACTCTCCACCTAACTAATTTTAACTAGCAACAAAACCATGATGCTATGCCCAAATTATGATCAAAACCATGGAGTGTTCGAAAAGACCTTCATTTTATGAGAAAATTATGATCCATCATTTTCTGTACTGCTTGTTGATATTAGGCATATGAGCTTTTAAAGGAAGGTGTAGATCTTCAAGCTTTTTATAGATACTTTCAGTTTATGTTCTTCACATAATTATTAAGAGAAAGTAATTGTTTTATCTATGATAATTGTTGATGGTGCAATTGATTATTGAAAATGATCACTCTGTTATTGGGGTTTGTACTTTTGGGTAAGAAAGTTGATGGAAAATTTGTGATGGAAAAAGGTCTTCACATCCTTTCTTTGACTCAGTTAACGGTCCTCCGCCGGACTTGTTGACAGTAATTTGGAAGCTCCTTACTGGAAACACTTCATCGCTTGAATTGTTCAAATTACTTCTCTCTGCAAAATTGTTGAATATGCTGTTCATTTCATGGCTGCTACATGTGCTTTGAATATCAATCAGACATGTTCTATTTAGGAAAGAAAAAATTCTAGATCTAATATTTTTTTAACTCTCGTTTCTGTCATTACAGGTCAAGCCCAAACCTAACCCAGCTAGCGTACAAGGACTTCTGAGAGACTTAATGTTGACAGTTATTTCATTGATTTAAGGTTAGACAACGACCTCAATGCCTTCATTTCAAACTAATCGATGCGTGTTTTCTCACTATCTATAACTGAGTTGTAGGATTTTAAATTAGTTTTAGCATGATTGGATTGATTGATTGTGATTAAATTAGTTTTGTGAGCAAGCATTGTTAGGATAGACGTTCTCACTTAGAAGCGTGCTTATGAGATAAGCCATGGGGCACTAATGTTAGTTTTCAAGTCCAAGTTTGATGAAAACTTTCAAAGTTCATGGCTGCTCTAAGATTTCAAGATAAACTATGCTCCTTAGTGTTTTTTACCTAACATTTTTAAGAGAAAATTTTCAAATCCAAGCAGTTTAAAACTTATATTAACTAGGACCAGAATTAGCAATATGGAGTGGCCTTTTTCTTCTAAATTTTTGGATATAGCACATTCAAAGTTCTAATGAATATTATACTTTAATTTTGAAGATGATGCTGTGACTTGATCAAAACATTGCATATAATATTTGCAATTTTTAGTCTCTGCATGTTATGTTGTTGTGGCTACTAGGTTATGTAAGCAAGTAAGAAAGTCCATCATTCTGATTTGTTAAAATTATGTTCTTATCAAGTAATTACCGGCATGGTCATCTTCTTTGGCTTCCACTGATTTGGTACGTCTTCGGATGAAACTTTTTCTCTATTTCTTTCTTTTCGTAAAGTGTTCGGATGAAATATTTTCTTGAAAGAACAGGTAAGCAAATAACTTTACCCCACCCAAACAAAAATGATGAATTTTCTAGCATCGTGTTATATTTATTACATATTTGTTGAATTTTGTCCCTTTGACCTTACCTTATGACCTTGGTCAACTTTCTTATTTATTTATTTGTTCATATATTGTTTCTAGTGCCTAATCATCTTAATATGTTTGGGCTTAAATTTAATTTTCCTCCGAGTCTTTTGAAGTGTCATTAATTCAGAAGTGCTACACCAAACTGCCTAGAAACGTGATAAAAAACGTGATTGTTAGGCCAAGTTTGGCATGATTGAAAAAAGACAAAAAGTCAAAAAGTCACTATTCTATTTAAGTCACATCATTTTATTTAAGTCACATCACCTCTCTAACACATCACTTCAAACCCAACCCAAACCCAATCTATATTTCATAAAAAGTCAAAAAGTGCACTTATTTAGTCTTCCCAAACTAGGCCTTAGTCTTGCAGCATGTGGACACACATACAGTGCATTAATCCTGTTTCAGTGGGTAGGAGATGCAAAATTGTTCATTTGTTGGTTTCTTTCTTTCTTTCTTGGTTTATAATTTTTTATTCATAAATATCTTATTAAAACGTCTTAACGACTATTGGTTCGGCAGACAGCAATGATTTTTTGTTCCTGTTTTTTTATTTTATTATTTTTTAAATTAATAAGGCTGTTTGCATCTCTATCTTATTTCAGGTAATTCTTTCGGTAGTATTGACTGCTGCTGGGGTTATGATTGCAGCGCTGGGAGATTTTTCTTTTGACCTTGTTGGATATAGCATGGCCTTTACTTCTGTTTTCTTCCAGGTTTGGTCTTGGGCTTTTCTTATTGAAATTTGTGAATAACAAGTGCTCATAAAATCATTTTGGAGCCTTGTTGCTTGAGCTTGTGATATGCTTGCATATGCAGACCATGTACCTTGTGTTGGTGGAGAAGTCTGGTGCAGAGGACGGACTTTCATCAGTCGAGATCATGTTCTATAACAGCTTTTTTTAATTTGGCACTAGATTACACTAGTAGTTCTATTATACATATTATAGTTCCCGCAATCCCTCTTGTTTCACTTGTTTTTGTTCTGATAACCAGAATTTTGGTTATATTTTCTAGTCTTTCTTATGTTCATCTGACATAGAATAATTATGTGTGTGCTTGCTTACACATGCACATGCGCTCCAAAAATTAACCCCATGAATCTGGAAGGACTTCTGCTCTCACCTTTATAGTGAAATAATTCATCTTTGTTGCTTGTGACATTTTGGTTGGCATCAATTATAGGTTGCCAAAGCATTAGTGGAAGTGTTTGCTGAAATGATTTTGATGAATATGGGTGCAAGGTGTTATGCCAGTTCATTGATAGAGTGGAGAAACACCCGAGCAAGAAAATTGATGAGAAGATTGGCCAGTTCTGGATTGTATTTTTTTCATAAAAGAACTTTTTTCAAGTTTTTAGTTGTAATAACTTTTACATGTAGCTCAAATTTTGAGACTCAAATAGAATGTTCAATAAAACTATAATGCTATACTGTCTGAATTCTTGTCATTGTTATTCCTAGAGTGCTTAACGCTACACTTTCATTTATTTATTTTTATTTTTATTTTTAATTTTTTGCGACGGTAACAAGATGGTCGCCAAAGATTATGTTAGTGTTTTTCTTTGTTTTTTGCGACGGCAAAATAGCGGTCGCCATAAGTAGTTTAGGTGGTCGCAAATAATTTGCGACCGTTGTTTTGCCGTCGCAAAAAGTATTTGCCACCCCCATATGACGGTTTATAGCGGTCGCAAAAAGTGGTTTTTTTAGTAGTGATGCGAACAAATAGATAATTTAGAAAAATAGGTGAATAATGGATACATAGACAAATAAGTAAGGCTAAAATGCTCTTTCAAATTATAATTGTTCTTTTGATCCCAAAAGAATAGAACTTGAGCCTATTGCTTAAAAAATTTTAGAAATGATCCTTTGGCTTAAGTATCCAATAATATTTAAGTATAACTATCATAATTTTTTTTATAAGTAATATATTATTTTATCATATGCATATAGCACCAGTCACATATTAGTATTAAAATGATGGAGATGCTTGATAAAACTGAAAAATGAATGTTAAGTTTTTAAATTAAAAAATTGTTTAATAAAAACTTAAGTGCTGAGCTAAAACAAGCTATTTAATATGTATAATATTAAAATTGAAGTTTATTATCTTTAAATTTTATATAGTGATAATGAGTTAGTGATGGTGGTGGAGACAACAATAGTGCTTGTGGCACCAATAATAATGGTGGTGGAGATAGAGAGAAAATAATCGTGCTGGTGATGGAGGGCTAATGTAGTGGGGAAAAAAAGGGACTGATAACACTAATGTAATGATGGTGGTTATTGTGGCGGTGAAAAAATATTGGTGGTTATAACAATGGTGGTAATGATTGTGAAGGTGAAGGGTTATAGTAGTTGTTGCAATGGTGGTGATAATAACAATGTCGATTGTAGTGTTGGTAATAAAATTATGGTGATGATTATGGTAACAATGACAATGGTGATTAAGGTAATAGTCATGAGTCATGACGGTATATGTTGATACTTACGTATAAGCATCTATAAATTCAGTTAGAATTAAATAAGTTTCCTATAACTTAATTTTTTTTTTAATTTTTAACTTACATTTTAAGAGTCACCTAAATATTTAAGTAATATCATTTGTACTTATTAAAAAGACTTAATTAATTTACACTTAATATATTTAAAAGGGGACTTATGTATAGGTCCTAATAGGTGAACTTATTGTCTAATAGGTCCTATGATAATCAATGATATTTTTCATCAAACAATATTAAAAACGTCACTAACTATAAGTTTCAGCGACAATTTGAAAAAATAGTCACAAAAAAGTCATTAATTTTTAAGTTTCAGCGACAACTTGAAAATTTTGTTACAAGAAAACATCACTAATTATAAGTTTTAGTAACAATTTATAAAACCGTGAGAAAAAAAAAATCACTAATTGTTAATTTTTAGCTACATATACAAAAAATCATCACAAAAAATTATTTTTAGCAACGATTTTACTAGGTCTTATTTTCAATAGGACTTAATGAGAATTAAGTCCGGCTATTATGACCTATTGACGGTTTATCCTAATTTTAAATACTTAATTAGATTATCAATCACCACCTAATAGTGCATTAAAAAAAGAGAGACAACATTTCAAAATAGAATATGATAAAAAAAATCATTTCAAAATAGAAAATTATGTGCAAAAGAAAAAAAAGAAAAAAAAAAAGAAAAGAAAAAAAGGACCCAATAATAGTGACCCATTGCTGCCTTGTAGGATGGCCTGTATCTTTGTTTGGGTAAGTAGGATGCCCTATATCCATCTAGGTTTAACATATTTAAAATAAGCAAATTCAATAATAATTGAACTTTGGGTCCATAACAAAAGTCCATAATAGAACTTCTAACAATCAATAACCATGTGGAGAGATGTACTTAGCCCTCATTCATCAATCCATTCTTTATTTTATTTATTTTTATTTTATTTTTTGTTCTTTTAACTTTTTTTAGTTCGTTGTCCTTTGTTAAGGCTGGAAAAGGGGTGTCTTTAAAATGACATTATCCACACATATTTGTTTGCTTCCTACCAAAACCTCTCTCTCACGGAACCTCAATTATGATAGTAACTTTTGAGTGTGATCTAAAGTCCTACAGTTTGGTAGCCCTATTAGAAAGCTACTGTAACCCCTTTGTTTATGCAAATACATTTAATCCAATCAATGTATAATTTCTTGTTCGACTTCAAAATATACATACATATATATATATATATATATATAATTTCTTTTATGCGCTTTACATATTTTTCAAAATAATACCAGATAATTCAATGCGCAAGATTTATGTTAAAATAAAATTATTACGAAATTTGTTAAAGCAGAAGAGTACAATTACAATTTTAATGTTCTGTTCATTTGGCGGAAAACATTATATGAAAAATATTTTTCGTATTTTGTGATATTTGCTATAATGGAATACGAAAGCTAACAGAAAATATTTTTTATGATCAATAAAAAATAAGTCTATTTGAGTAGAAAATGTTTTCTACTTTTAAAATATAAAAAAACATTTTCCGGACTAAATTTGTACCAATATCAACACACCACTACCACTACTCTCAGCTCCACCACCACACCACCATTACCACGGTCACCGCCACCATCACCACCACCGTCACCCCACCGCCATGCCACCACTTTCACCTCTACGGCCACCTTTGTTTCAGCACTAGCACCACCAAAAATAGACAACGATTTTTTCTAGAAAATATTTTCTGAGAAAATTTTCTGTAGAAAATATTTTCCATTAGAAAATGTTTTCAACCCAAACAAACACAACGTAAGAGTAATTTTGTTCATTTTAGTTCTAAGCAGTGGCAAAGTATAACATTTACAATTTTTCTCAATTTTACAAAAATAACATTTTTAGTTGTTGTAATAAACATTTACAATTTGTCTTTAAATTTTCATGTATTGTATAGCTCATTTTTGTTTCTTTTTTTCCATAAAAATCAGTAAAGAAAAACCTCTAATTAAGTTATCTGTATAAATGGTTTTTCAGAAAAATCTACTTTAATATATTCTCTACCACTCTCTCAATTTTCATGGTGCGGTTCAAGCATTTTTGAATGAATCGAAATTCATATACTTGTTAGTGCAGTGTATTGAGCATTTTAAAGTTATTAGACAAAAATAATTTAAATAAATTAAAAAAATCTTATTATTTAGAAGTTGAGTAAGAGATGTTTTTGATTTCGACTTTCTAATTATCACTTTTTAATATATAATAAATTGCACCAAATATGTTATTTATCCTTGAATTATAGTCATGTGTCGTCTTTTGATGTCATGAATCGGCATCAAGTTTGACAAAGAATGATCCATCTTAAAATTCCTCTCATTTCAAGCTATTTTTATTTCTCTTAAAATAAATTTCTTGCTCTGCCTTCCAAGACATCACAATTTAGAAGTTAGATCAGATTGATATGAAACACAACAAAACCAGAACCTCAACACTAGTTGGCTATAAAGGAGCATCTGCATCTTCAAGAGGTAAAGAAAAAAACTATATCGGTTGTAAAGTGAGAACTCTTAATCATCAAAATCTCAACAGAAACAAAAACTATTAAAGGAGACAACCTTTGCTACAGTCTATTAATTGGTGTAGTTCTCTGCATCAAAGTGAACTTTACAGCACAGAAAATGCTATACGCCCTAAATTTCTAACAAATAAATGACCAAATATTTCACATGAGTGTACATGTAAGATATTTGGTCATTTATTTGATAAAAAATTTAGTATCTCTAACATTACTCTTACTGGTGGTGGAATAAAGATATGCCAACTCGTAAGTTCCTTAATAATTATCCTCTGCTAGTTCAATTTGGCAACAAAAAAATTGGGTAAATTACACTATACCCTCTTCATGATATGCTATGCTATTTCTTACTTTAATGTTTAAAGTTTATTTTTTTCATTTTGACCGTTCATGTTTTAATTTTTTTCCAATTTACTATAAAAAATTAGATAAACAATGACACATTAACACATGGTATAAAAATATTTTATTATATATACTTTACACCTCTAGTATAAATTCAAACCATAATTGTTATGTGACAGTTAATATGTTATTTTGTCTAATTTTAAATAAAAATTAATTTTAAAAGTAAATTGAAAAAAATCTTAAAATATGAAGAGTCAAAGTGAAAAAGAAAATTCAAAAACTAAAGCACAAAAAAAGAAAAAAAAACAAAAACAAAAACAAACAAACAAACAAACATAGAAGAGAGTAAATTGTGATTTATTCCAAAAAAAGTTATGGGGGGCCAAAATGAGGGTGTACTTACTGGCCACATATAGGCAGCTGCATGTGACATCTAAGTGGTCCTCTTTTTTTTTAAAAAAAAAACAATAGGGCAAAATTTATTTTTTTTATTTTTATTTTTT